AAAACATGCGTAATCCTGTGTAAGGAATATGAGTCTAGAAAACATGTACTGCCTGTAATTTGTTCTTCAATGCATGTGGATCTTTTAGGTTACTCAGTACACATCATTTTTCATCACGCCCCGCAGTGTGTGGAGGGAGGGCACACGGGAGCAAAAGATGTAATCTGTGCGTTAGGAGGCGTGTGGTAGCTCCGCTGACGTCCGTCCCGCGAGCTTTGTTCCGTTGCAGTCAATCAATCCAACTGCGGCTCCCCTACAGCGGCAGCATCCAGGCACCCGGGAAAATCCTCACCCTCAGCAGGGCTCCAGCCAGTCTTGCCATGTTTTAATTTTATTAATTGAAAGAAAGGGCTAGGGGGAGAAAGGAGCAAAAGGAAACATGAAAGGATTTCAGGAGTTTTTTTAATGCTCTTTTACAAAATGAAAGATTGACACAGTAAGACTAGAGATTTCGCCGCTGAAGATGTTTTTGCTGAATAGAGTCAAACGGAGTTCTGTGGAATTGTGTCAGTGTTCCTTTCCTGGAAGACACACGTCTCTTGGTGGTAAAGCTTCTCTTCTCTTTGTAAATCATTGTTTAAAATTTGGAGGATACTGTTTTTAAGATGTGATGTCAAGCCACAGTTATTATTTCTCTTAATTATTTTTTCAGGACTTCACCGCTTATATGTGATTATATTTGCTTTCTAGTGTATTTCATTGTGTAAAGGTAACAGGAGATATAATTAAGCACAAAAACAGCCATGGATGGACTGCAATGAAATAGCTCTTATATTGGGAATGCAGACACGCCGAGGCAAGCTGTCAGAGTCCCTCTGCAAGGGCTCGCTCGAGGTGGACATGCTGGAAGTGATCATAAATCCTACTCTGAGAGCTGGGTATTGGGCCCAGGTACCCCAGGACTAATGCTCCTGGATAAAGGGAGTCAGCAGACATTTCCTTGAACCTTGAGGAAGTTTCCCAAGGGTAGATACAGGGAGACAAGGAGTTTGGCTTCTGTCCAGGGAGCCCTGAATAGGTGGCAGTGTCTGGGCCACAGTCTGGGAGGCCAACACAACAGGAATTCATCCACTCACAGTTCTGGGGGCTGGAAGTCCCAGATCAGGGTGTGAGCAGGGCCACACTGCCTCTGAGACTGTGCGCAGAAGCCTTCCTGCCCCTCCAGCTCCTGGCAGTGGCTGCCTTTCCTTGGCATTCCCTGCCCCGCAGCTGCACGGCTCCCATCTCTGCTCCACGGCCACATGGCCTTCTCTCTGTGTGTCTTCTGATTTCTTAGAAGGGTGCCAGTCATACTGGATGGGGATCCACCCAAATGACTTCATCTTAACTTGACCACATCTGCAAAGACCCTAAAATAAGGTCACATTCACTGGTAGCCAAATTAGGGCTTCAAGATGTTTTTTTAGAGGACATGATTTGACCCCAGCTGATGCTTTGGGGTTGGATCATTTGGATGGCCTCCGACTCAGTCCATAAAGAACTAGTCTTGTGTTTCTCAAAAACACAACAAAGAGTAACAGAGGGAATAAATACAGAGTTTTCACCCTGTCCAGCATTACAGCGTTTCATGCCCGATGCATTAGCAGCCTCAAGAAAAACCAGGTCAACATTAGCAGCAACGGGGATATGCTGATCCTGGGGCAGGTACTGAAGAAGGAACAGATCTGTCAGCAGTGAGGCTGGCTTCTCAGACCACCAGGAAAACACAGGGGAAGGAAGGGGTCCTGAGGGTGCTTAGGTCCCAGAGACCCCAGATGGGGCTCAGCTCCAGCAGTGCTTACTGCCTCTGGCCTCACTCCTGTGCTGCTCCAACTGCCCAGGTCTGTGGAAGTAAGAGGAGCATCCACACACTGAGCCCCAAGTTAGCCAGATGCAGAACTGGCAGGGTCTGTACTTCGTCCTGAGTATGCCCCCTGCTGTAAAGTCATGAGTGACTACGATGTGTGTTAGGTTATAAAAACAATCCTCAGGTTAAGTATAGCCAGGCCAGGGATTTCCAACTGGATTCCACAGAATTCTAGATTGGGAAGAAGTTCCCCAAGGAACACCGCAAGGAAGAAGGGGATGGAGTACCGAGCCTCCCAGCTTGGAGTCAAAAATCAGCACTTCACTGTCATTAGTTCTGTATACTGACAGTATATATGAATTATGTGGATTGGATTTGGGAAAAGAGTTGAACAAATTAAATAAGTAATTAACACATTTATTCATTGAACAAATACATAGGGTGCCTGTATTCCAGGCTCCATTCTAGATGTACGGACAAAAAAGGCAGTTCTGTTGGATTAGGGACATGCAGTTAAGGATCATAAATAAGAAGAATAGAATTATGATGGAAGGTGATCTATGCTTTGGGAAAAAACTAATACAGCAGTCTCACGGGATGGTAGGGTAGTAAGGGTAGGCTTTACCAAGAAGATGGCATCAGGGCAGAGTTGGAGCTGGTGAAGGGGTCAGTAACATGGAATATGTGCAAAGAATGTTCCAATCAAAGGGAAGAGCCAGAGACTAGGACATGAGGTCATGACAACAACCTGGAGGTCATGCAAGGATTTCAGTTTTTACTCTGAGTGAAATGGAGGGCTGGCTATTCCTGTTACTTAGAGGAATGGAAGAATCTGACATGCATTATAAAAGGATCCTGCTGGCTACAGGGCTGGAAATGAACAGGAGGGGACAAAGGCAGGAGTGACAAGACCAGTGGGAAGACACTGCAGAGCCCCAAACAGGGGCAGGTCTCGGTGTCCCAGTGCCCGGCGCGCGCCGCCTCGCAGCCAGATAACTAGGCCGCGTCTAATTACTGCCGGGCAGCGGTGCTGGCGCTGGGAGCTGCGGCCCAGGCGAACCCTCAGGGGCGCGTCCTGGGAGCCACCCCCTTCCTTCCACCGGAGGGTGAGCCAGGCAGGGAAGCCCAGCAGCCTCGCAGGGAGTTAGCCAGTGGGGCGGGGTCCTCCGGGAGGAGTCCCGGCTTCGAGGAGTCGGCCTGCCCTCGGGAGCAGCCGTGGTGGTCGGCCGGCTCATTCACAGAACTGGGGAGGCTGAGCTGGGCCGTCTGGGGCCAGGTCCTAGCCAGCGCCCCTGAGCGCACTGCCCCGTCTCCTGGCACTTCTCTGGGCAGCTGGCGCAGATGGAAATGCTGCGAGCTCACCTCCTTCCACTAGAAGGGGGGTGCCCAGAGCACAGTGGCCTCGGAATAAAGTAGCTACTAAGAGCATGACCTAATCTTCTGTAAATTCATAATAATTTAGCTGTCTTTTTCCTAGCCTGTGGCCTCCATTCTTCCAAATTTTTTCCATGGCCATAAATAGCACCCAGGAGCAGAGTGGTTGTGTCTGTTCTTTCCAATTCCAGACCTTTCTCATCCTGAGTCATGGTTTTCTCTGTTGCCAGTTAAAACCAGCAGAGGTCAGAGCGGGCGACCCAGGCGGCGCACGACCATGAGGGAGGGGGCATCGGGGTGCTTGTTTGCTTGCTGGCAGCTGGGATCTCTGTGCCCAGGCCCCAAGCGGCAGCCACGCCATCCACTTCTGCATTAATACAGCAGAACCAGCTCTCTGCGTGTGTGAACTCCATCCGTTAATAGGCCAACTATTGCCATCTAAAGGAGGCAGGTCATGTATTTTAAGGGGTGATCACACCAATTCCTTACCTCCCCCATTCTTTCACTCTAGCAAGGATAGAGAGAATAGCCACGGAGAGAGGCATGGAGAGCAGGCTCGGGACGGGCAAAAGAAGGGAGAAATGGAGAAGAAAAATGACCACTTACAGCTGCGTGTCACTAGGATGTAAGCCACAGATGCCCAGGATGACATCCTTCATATAGAATGTGGTACCCAGCAATGCGGGGCACACGATGACAAAGGAACCTGACTCAGGGCATTGTAACCCTGGGACTCTGCTTTCAATATAACCTCCGTCCCTTCACGTCCAGGCCAATATTCCCATATGAATGATAACTGTGCTCAGCAAAAGTAGATTAGGTGCAACAAATACAAAAACCTGTATTAACATGTTGACTGATGTACTTCAGTGGAAGATCCCACTTAAAGCAGCTTGCATATTTCCTAAAATACGTTAAAATTGTTCTACTGCAAAACGATTTTTTTATCCAAAATTAGAGAGGCAGACAGAAGGGATACTACCAGAGAATTATTAGCTCACATTTGGTATACAGAAATGATACATTGTGCAAATATTTAAAGATACAGATGTCAATGGATGTCAGTGACAGAAAAGGGAGGAGGCCCTGTCTTGCGGTTGAGGGGAGGAGCGGGTCCCACCCTGACATTCAGCAAGGACAGAATGCGGCCAGAGGCGCCTGCCAGCGGAGGACTCCGCCCCTGCGGCTGCGGGGCGCGTCCCGGGAGAGGCACCGCCCTGCCCCGCCTTGCGGGCACACCAGCTCCCAGGAGCCTGGCCAGGCACTGTCCAGCTGCCGGAGAGACCCGCCGAATCAGCGCACGGCTGCGAGGCCTCCTCGCGCTGCAGCAGGACAGCAGGACTGCAGGACAGCGCTGGGGACGCGCCGGCTCTGGGCGCGCTCCACATACGGTGGGCGTGGTCTGAGGCTCCGCCCCCGGAACGGGGAAACTGAGAACCGCGCTGTGCACGCGCCGCAGCAAAGCCAGCTGCCAGGTCGCTCCTTACGCTTCAGGAGGACTGCACGGTGTGCGTGCGTGCGTGTGTGTTTCTGTGTGCACGCATACACACTCCCAAAAACATGCGTAATCCTGTGTAAGGAATATGAGTCTAGAAAACATGTACTGCCTGTAATTTGTTCTTCAATGCATGTGGATCTTTTAGGTTACTCAGTACACATCATTTTTCATCACGCCCCGCAGTGTGTGGAGGGAGGGCACACGGGAGCAAAAGATGTAATCTGTGCGTTAGGAGGCGTGTGGTAGCTCCGCTGACGTCCGTCCCGCGAGCTTTGTTCCGTTGCAGTCAATCAATCCAACTGCGGCTCCCCTACAGCGGCAGCATCCAGGCACCCGGGAAAATCCTCACCCTCAGCAGGGCTCCAGCCAGTCTTGCCATGTTTTAATTTTATTAATTGAAAGAAAGGGCTAGGGGGAGAAAGGAGCAAAAGGAAACATGAAAGGATTTCAGGAGTTTTTTTAATGCTCTTTTACAAAATGAAAGATTGACACAGTAAGACTAGAGATTTCGCCGCTGAAGATGTTTTTGCTGAATAGAGTCAAACGGAGTTCTGTGGAATTGTGTCAGTGTTCCTTTCCTGGAAGACACACGTCTCTTGGTGGTAAAGCTTCTCTTCTCTTTGTAAATCATTGTTTAAAATTTGGAGGATACTGTTTTTAAGATGTGATGTCAAGCCACAGTTATTATTTCTCTTAATTATTTTTTCAGGACTTCACCGCTTATATGTGATTATATTTGCTTTCTAGTGTATTTCATTGTGTAAAGGTAACAGGAGATATAATTAAGCACAAAAACAGCCATGGATGGACTGCAATGAAATAGCTCTTATATTGGGAATGCAGACACGCCGAGGCAAGCTGTCAGAGTCCCTCTGCAAGGGCTCGCTCGAGGTGGACATGCTGGAAGTGATCATAAATCCTACTCTGAGAGCTGGGTATTGGGCCCAGGTACCCCAGGACTAATGCTCCTGGATAAAGGGAGTCAGCAGACATTTCCTTGAACCTTGAGGAAGTTTCCCAAGGGTAGATACAGGGAGACAAGGAGTTTGGCTTCTGTCCAGGGAGCCCTGAATAGGTGGCAGTGTCTGGGCCACAGTCTGGGAGGCCAACACAACAGGAATTCATCCACTCACAGTTCTGGGGGCTGGAAGTCCCAGATCAGGGTGTGAGCAGGGCCACACTGCCTCTGAGACTGTGCGCAGAAGCCTTCCTGCCCCTCCAGCTCCTGGCAGTGGCTGCCTTTCCTTGGCATTCCCTGCCCCGCAGCTGCACGGCTCCCATCTCTGCTCCACGGCCACATGGCCTTCTCTCTGTGTGTCTTCTGATTTCTTAGAAGGGTGCCAGTCATACTGGATGGGGATCCACCCAAATGACTTCATCTTAACTTGACCACATCTGCAAAGACCCTAAAATAAGGTCACATTCACTGGTAGCCAAATTAGGGCTTCAAGATGTTTTTTTAGAGGACATGATTTGACCCCAGCTGATGCTTTGGGGTTGGATCATTTGGATGGCCTCCGACTCAGTCCATAAAGAACTAGTCTTGTGTTTCTCAAAAACACAACAAAGAGTAACAGAGGGAATAAATACAGAGTTTTCACCCTGTCCAGCATTACAGCGTTTCATGCCCGATGCATTAGCAGCCTCAAGAAAAACCAGGTCAACATTAGCAGCAACGGGGATATGCTGATCCTGGGGCAGGTACTGAAGAAGGAACAGATCTGTCAGCAGTGAGGCTGGCTTCTCAGACCACCAGGAAAACACAGGGGAAGGAAGGGGTCCTGAGGGTGCTTAGGTCCCAGAGACCCCAGATGGGGCTCAGCTCCAGCAGTGCTTACTGCCTCTGGCCTCACTCCTGTGCTGCTCCAACTGCCCAGGTCTGTGGAAGTAAGAGGAGCATCCACACACTGAGCCCCAAGTTAGCCAGATGCAGAACTGGCAGGGTCTGTACTTCGTCCTGAGTATGCCCCCTGCTGTAAAGTCATGAGTGACTACGATGTGTGTTAGGTTATAAAAACAATCCTCAGGTTAAGTATAGCCAGGCCAGGGATTTCCAACTGGATTCCACAGAATTCTAGATTGGGAAGAAGTTCCCCAAGGAACACCGCAAGGAAGAAGGGGATGGAGTACCGAGCCTCCCAGCTTGGAGTCAAAAATCAGCACTTCACTGTCATTAGTTCTGTATACTGACAGTATATATGAATTATGTGGATTGGATTTGGGAAAAGAGTTGAACAAATTAAATAAGTAATTAACACATTTATTCATTGAACAAATACATAGGGTGCCTGTATTCCAGGCTCCATTCTAGATGTACGGACAAAAAAGGCAGTTCTGTTGGATTAGGGACATGCAGTTAAGGATCATAAATAAGAAGAATAGAATTATGATGGAAGGTGATCTATGCTTTGGGAAAAAACTAATACAGCAGTCTCACGGGATGGTAGGGTAGTAAGGGTAGGCTTTACCAAGAAGATGGCATCAGGGCAGAGTTGGAGCTGGTGAAGGGGTCAGTAACATGGAATATGTGCAAAGAATGTTCCAATCAAAGGGAAGAGCCAGAGACTAGGACATGAGGTCATGACAACAACCTGGAGGTCATGCAAGGATTTCAGTTTTTACTCTGAGTGAAATGGAGGGCTGGCTATTCCTGTTACTTAGAGGAATGGAAGAATCTGACATGCATTATAAAAGGATCCTGCTGGCTACAGGGCTGGAAATGAACAGGAGGGGACAAAGGCAGGAGTGACAAGACCAGTGGGAAGACACTGCAGAGCCCCAAATGGGAGATGATGCCTCTAGGAGCAAATGGGTAGTGGTTAGAACGCCAAGATGCTATCATAGTCTGAATATACGCTGAAGATGGAGCCGACAGCATTTCCTGTTGGCTTTGATGTAGGATGTCGTCGTAAAAGAGGAACGCAGGATGACTCTAAAGGGATAAAATTTAAGCATGAGCATTTTAGCAGGACACTGAATAGGAAGTGTAACACACAATATTTGAAGAAATAACCAAAATAAATCTGGAATTGAAAAATGCAAAAATCAAATGCAAGAATCAGTGGATAAGTTTAAAGAAGTCAATGGATAAACACAACTGGAGAGAAATTATTAAACAAAAAGATGCCTCAGGAGAAAGAATCCAGAATATGATACAGAGTAACAAATTATGGGGGAAATCACAAAAGGATAAGAAATATTAAAAAGGCATAAGTGAGTTTTTCAAAGTCTCAGAAAGATAGAAGTGATCAAATGGGATAGAGGTAATAATTGAAGAGATAATGACTGATAATTTTCCAGGACTGATGAAAGAAATGAATCCACAGATTCAGGGAGCCCAGTGAATCTCAAACAGGATAAGAAAAAGATATCCTCACGAAAGCATATGATATGAATAGAAAATAGCCAAAGAAAAAAATTTTCAAAGAAGGGAAAGACTAGTAATTTCTCAAAGACATCAGAAAGGAAACCTGAGGGCAAGACACATCCTCAGTGGACGCACTAAAAAAAACAACGGCCGACCTGGATGATGAAAGACGTGAAGACATTTCATTCAAGCAGTAACTGAAAGTGTGTCACCACAGACCCACACTACAGGAAATTATGAAGAATATACTTTAGGCGAAGGAAAATGAACCTAGATGGAAAGGCAGAGACGTCCAAAGGAATGAAGAGCAAATAATGAATATTTATTCATATATTTATGAATGGACAGTGATAATAATGACAAAAATCTATATTAAGTGTGACTTTATAGTCCAATAATAATGCTGTATTATGGGGTTTAAATGTAGAAATAAAATTCATGAAGATAATACCAGTACAGTGAGAGCAAGATAAATGTAGTTAAATTATTCTAGAGCCCATTTTATTTTCTGGGGGAGGATAACATTACTAACATTAGACTGTGATTAGATATAGATGGATTCTATCTTATCAGAGCAACATTTCAGTTCCCTCTTAAATTTCCATTTAAGTGGGAAATATAGGGAATTGCACACTTGCACTGGCATTCACCAGAAGTGTTATGTAAATATTACCCCATACATCCTTAACCAATCTCAGACTTACGTTGTCCACAGCTTCCTTCTTCATTTGGCATTACATCTGCATGAGGGCTTGAGCAAAGTGCCAGGGCCCTGCCTCCAACGGCCCCCGGGTCCTGGGCTCTGCCAGGCCTGCCCAGCCCCCAGGCGGCAAGGAGAGCTGAGTCAGCCCACCCCCACTCTGAGGCAAGCCTGCCCAGCTCCCCTTTCCAGAGCAGTTGTTGTCTTAGAGCTTCGGGCAATCTTGGTTGTACAGGTCCCAGGCTACCACAGAGCAAACACTGAAAATTCACCACATCCCACATTAAATATACATGGGTTTAGTTAAATTGCAGGAAACCAGTTGGCATGATGTTGTATTTTGTGGACATTTAGTTAAACATTTACTTATTTCAAGTTTTCCATGTTTTTTCCACCCACAAATTGCAGCCAATTCTTTCTCTTTGTAGTTCTTAAAAAACCCCAAAACTCCAGTACCACAGGGCCTCTGTCCCTGCCGTAAAATCCTAACACCTCAAATGGCCTCTCCCCTCACACTCATGCGTTGCCTGCCTGCTCAGACTTTTTTTTAAAACTTTTATTTCATTTAAAAAGAGCACCCCATGGAGAACTGATGGTGTGGGAAGGCATGGTGAGCTTGTTCTGTGCCAGCCCTGGTGCCACACATGGGAGGAGACAACCTGAGCATGGTGTCCGGAGCCCTGGGCCTCTGGCATCGGCCACCTGGGTGTACACCTTATTCACCTGCCAATGCAGGTCTGCAGTCTGCCCAGAGACCCTGCATTTCCAACCAGCTCCCACTGATGCCGCAGCCTTAGGCTGGGGTCCTTGCCATACAGCCTGAGTCCTCAGATTCCCGTCTAAGTAGTTAGTGAGGGTCCCCAGAGGGGCTGCCAGGAGGAGAGAAGCAGTACACATCCCAGAGGAATGGACCCGGATGTGTGGTCAGCGATGCCAGCTTTGACCTGGAGTGAGTGCTTCCCCCCTCCCCACGGAGCTGCTCCCCTGGGGTGGACAGCTCCCAGCCATTCAGTACATTCCCAGGAGCCGGGGCCCAGTAGAGGGGCCCCTGAGGACCACGCTGAGCAGAGCTTTGGTTCCCAAAGCCAGTCCGGGTCTGTGGCCTCAGCTGATGCACGTCTCTCCACCACTGTGGCTGCCAGGACCCGCCCCAGGACAAAGGTCAATTCCAGAAGCTTCCCAGGGATGCCAGCTGCAGCCAAGTATGGGACACCTGGAATTTTAGCTAGAGTTTCATCGGCTTTAGCTCTCGCCCAGCACTGAGTGTGTGCAGAGTACTTCTCCCTGTCCTCTGAGCATGGGAACACCTAGGGTGGCCCCCGCGGGGCCTGCACACCCTTCAGCACCCTTACCTGGGCAGGTGCTGCCTACCCCAATAGACCCAGCCACACACCGGTGCCCCCGAGAGCCCTGTGCCAGGGGCTTCAGCGGCCAGGAGACCTGCTCCTCCTCTGGCCATACACTGCAAAGCAGAGCTCTTTGCGACCCTGCATCATACAGTTATCAGTGAGACATCCTTTTTGGTTTTTACATCATCCCCTGCTTATGGGAAGATGAAATCCTGGTAGAGGGGGAAAATGGAGTATTTTTCCGAATGATTATAATCTCAGAATGCCCCCATTCCTACACATGTGGGGGGTAAGGACGAAAGAGCAGCTCAGTCTGTCTGGGGAAACACCTCAATCTCATGCACGTCAACTCCTGACGGTGGCCGATGCCACAGTCCCAGAAGGGCCGGCTGCTCCCCGACGGTGCCTCATGCCAGCGATGAGAGAGTCGGATTCTCATCCTGGCCCTGGTGCAGGAAGCTGTCATGAGTAAATCCTTTCTTTCTCCCTCTCATGTTTTCCACCCGAAGAAACAACTTCATCTAACTTCATGAAATTTAGCAACTCTTGATTTCCAAAATCTCTTGGTTTCCCTACTCAACACAGGAAAATATTTAAGGAAAAATCATCAATATATTTGAAAACAAAAGAAGTCATAATATTTTGTATTCTTTCACAGAATTGTGCAGATAGGAGCATTCACTTTCCTTCTCTGCAAGAAGACCTGAGAAGAAACTGCATTTGCTGGGTAAGTTTTGCCCAAAAGAAGGGTCTGTTCAGCCTCAGGTTCATGCCCTCATGGTATTGCTTCACCTCTGGATGTTTTATGGTCTCAACACAGTTTGGAATCCTAAGGTTTTTCTCCTCTTGAGACAAGCTTCCTTCTACTTCTTCAGATTCCTGGGTCCTTTTATATTCATAGTTTTAAAAAACCAACATGGAGGAAGAAGGCAGGAGAGAAACAGGGGAAGGGCTGTATGTGCACACCTGCTGGGCAGGTGAGGGCCTGGCTTCCCTGCAGGGCCAGGAATTGAGGGGAATTCTGTTTGCAGTATTTCAAAGCCCTCTTTCTAGAGAATTGTCTTGAGTGCCCAAAGCTTGTTAAGACAATCCAATACTAGCCGAGCTATTGCTGCTTATATTTCTGTCCTTGAATGAGTTAGAAATTGCTCCCATCTGTCTCTCTTTTCTCAGGTCTTTGTACTCTGAGAAGGAGGAACGTATTCACTAACAATTAGATTGAAAACTAATACCAGAAAATTGAAAAACACCATCGAATCCTCAAGAGATAAACCCCCTCCCCGACTCTCTCATGTGAAAGTCATAGGTATTGCTTGTACGGACCCTGCCTGTAGACATTCTTTACATCCTGTTGCTGTTCCTCATCTGCACACAGCCCTCCACCCTCTGGCAAGGCCCGCATATCCTCTGCTGGCTTCACAAGGCTTTGATCCTTGATGTTTAGTTTCCAGAGGAGCAGATGGAGCTCTGCTTCGTGGAGGCCTCAACCAATCCTGCAGGGAGCCCTGGAACTGGGTGGACCCTATGCAGGTCACCAAACTGAAGTCGAGAGGTCAGCACCCCATCCTGGGCTTTGTGCTCCTCGCAGGCCAGGCGGCCCCGTGCTTGCGGCCCTTGTCCAGTGAGGATACAGCTCTGAACCGACCACAGCTGGCGTCCCCAGCACCAGGTACAAAGCGTGCACAGCGTTGTCCTATTGATATATTTTTGGATTTTAGCTGAGAATCACTGAATTCTGGCAACATAACTTTTCATAGCCTGAGATGGGAAGATATGACTTAGCTCGTGGCAGCTAGCCCCTGGCACTGCGCTTGACCCAGCTGGTGACAGCACCACTTACAGCGCCTACCCCCATGATGGGGACCCAACACCTTCTTTACAGTAGCTCAGGCCAAAAACGTCCAGAGGTGCTTGGCTCCTCCTCTTCCACACCCCACGCCACTTTCCCTGCGCCTCCAGCTGGCTCCCATGTCTAAATGTAGCGAGTCCTGCATCTGAGCACCGCTTCACTTCTGCTGCCCCAGAGCAAGCCTCCATACCCACACCAAAGCAAGCCTTTGAAAATAGAACTCAGATCACATTACTCCACTCCTCTGCTCAAAACCCTCTCACTGCCCTCTGTACCATTCAGCCAAAGGCTAAGAATTGACAGAGGTGCATTAGTCCCTGTGGGGCTCCCACACCCTCTCTGAGCACATCCACCGTGTATCCCTGCTCACTGCCCAGCAGCTTTACTGTTTACTGTTTACTGTTGCTCCAGGAACATGGACAGCGTCCAATCTCAGCCCCTTCTCCTGGAATACACTTCCCCCTGAAATGCTCTTTTCCCTGGAATGCTCTTCCCCCAGGCAACTGCATGGCCCATTCTTTCACCTTCTCCACCCCGCTGCCCAGTGACTGCCTGGGAATGAGGCCCACGTTGCTACCGTTCTATCAGAAATCGCAGCCTGCCCCGCCCCTCACCAGCACCTCTTCCAAGTCCCTTTCTTTGCTCTATTTTCCATAGCAGGTCCATCTCATAGCACACTAAACAATTGACGTATTTATGTTTTATTTGTTTTGTTTTGTTTTTTCTGTCTCCCTCACCAGGCTTTCTGTCCCATGAGGGCAAGGAGTCATCTTATTCACGGATGTGTTTCAAGTGCCTAGAACCCAGCCTGGCCCGCAGTTGGTGCTCAGTAATTGCTGATGGACTCCACTGATCATTAATGTAGAGGCCCGGGTGACTGACTTTGACTTGTCTTTTCTCCAAACCTTACCCCCATTTTTAAAACCCGATTCTCATGCACATACTGGAATGTCACTTTCTTGAGCCTTAAAATATGAATTTACAAAGTGATTTGTTTTCTAAGGTTTTAACTCACTGATTTGCTTACCAAGTTCAAACCCTGTTTGAAATTAGATATTTTTTCTGATTGATGTAGCTTACAGACATGAATTCAGGGGAATATCCTTTCTCATAGGAATTTTATTTCCAAGGCTTCTGCTGGCACTGAAAACAGTCTGTGATCCTAAGAGACTATTCACTGTCCATGACCATATCCAAATATTTTAACACCAAGCACACAGCCTGCACAGTTGGGCAGCCCAGCTGGTCTGCAGTGTGTGGGGGAGGCTCGTGGCAGGCTGACGTCAATTGGCAGAGCCAGTCTGAAGAAGCTCATGCTCAGCCAGCCTCCCACAGGTTTCTCTCTTTTCCATCCAGTGTTATCAGCTAACTTTTGTTTCTCAGGATTCAGATTCCTCTTCCACAGTTTTCTCAACAAGGAAATCTGTGGCTTTTCTGGATTCTTTGGTCATGTCATTCTCAACCTATGACTATGTCCGTGAAAACTAGAGGAATGGAGTATGAATTGTTACAATTAATGACACTTCTAGGTAAGCGTTTATTCCTCAAGATGTTGTTCATTCTTAAAATATATCTGAACCTATTCTTTCAAGGGTGGACATTTTTTATCTGCAAGGTGATGCAGATTTTTGCAGAGAAGAGCTGTCAGGCAGTGCAAAGCAGCAGATTGCAGACATTATGAACACTGGTTTATCAGCTCTTTCCTTGCATGCAAAGGTCTATGAATTTATCTTTTGTTCTTCAGTTTGTGGGAAGGCCGGTAGTTGCCTGGCTTAGGCTTTTTGAAGGGGACATCTCTTTGTCACTACAGTATACAAATACAGCAAATGGGAAAATCACATAGCAGAACTCATGATAGTGTAATGTATAATTGGGTGGAAAAAAACAACCAGCACAGTTCATTATATAAATAGGAAATGTTTTCTTCTGCTAACATTTACTTTCATCTGCAATTTCTTCTGCTGTGTCGGCAATCTAATTTAATTATAGGATCCGAGTGCCTAAACCTCCAAAAATAGAAACAGGGAAAGGAGGCGTGAAGGCCGGCCAGGCTCAGGCGCCCGGATTCCTCAGCTTCTGCGCTGTGTGGGCTCCGCACAGCCCTCGCCAGGGATGCTCTCGCCCGTGGTCCAGGCTACAGTTTGGCACCATTTCCTCTCTCCTCAACTGTCCTTGTTTTCTCCCTCTGCCACCATCTTCTGGGACTTCTGCAGGTATTTGCTGACCATTTTTGAGTCGGATAGTAAAGTTAGTAACTTGCTGGTTTCTCCTATATTTCGCTCTTCCGTATTTACTCGTGAGCTCACCTCGACTCACCTCCTGCACCTGCTTCCAGCCCCATTTTGCTCTCAACTCTGAGACTCTCACCACAGCGTTCATCTCTTCAGTCTTTGACTTCCACCGCCTCAATGATTCCTCTTTCTTCATTCTTTTAAATGAAGTACCAACCTCAACCCTCTCACATTTATCCACGCCCACCTCAAGCCTTAATTCGAACACTATTTTTTAGTCTTGAAGATTCCAGGCAGTTAGCCAGCCCCCCTCTCACTGGCGTCCCCCTATATCCGCTCCTCCCACGTGCTCCGGGGCTCCACCAGGCTGACTGTCATTGAGATCTTCCCACGGAAACAACTCCGCAGCCCCCAGCGTCGCCTCCTTATCCAAATCTTGTCTGCATGTCTTTACACAGCTTTGTCAGAAAAAGCGTCTGTCCGTGAAAGCACGTGCACTGAGTCACACTTTCTCACTAATTTGCATTTTCATTTCAGATATGTATTCCTAGAGAAAGAAAATTACCTTAAGGCATAATAAAAATCACATAAACAATCATGGGGTTTACCTCTTACTACATTTGATGTTCCTAGTGCACTACCCTTGTTTACTAGTGGAAACCATGTCTCGGTAGGTTGGCTGACCGTAAAGATAGGTGGATCCGCGACAAATTCAGTGCGCTGATTAGTGGAATAATGCCACGTGAGCGTCAATACAGTCTCAGAAGCATGTCTTGAAAAAAAATAGTCTGCTTGTCACATGCATTCAAAATAGAAACCTCTCATGGATTGTAAATGTCTAAAAAAGCAAATGAAACAAAAAGGGAAAACCTCAGGAATCTGAAATATTGGTCTAAATTAAAACAATGAATTCCGTAAGTATCATACCAAGCCTTGCACTTGAATTGTGCACCAGATTAGCACAATTTAAGAGCAGTTTATCATTAAAGAATTTTAGGGTTTAGACACTCTAAAATCCCAAAGGAATTCGTGGCATAATCCACTGGCCCAAACCCCAAGTCCCTGTGTTCTAGGGCTGCATTAAAAGAGGTTCTAGAAGAATGAGAGACATTATTCCTGACCCAGCTCTTCTCCCAGCATGTGGAAAGATGGGCAGGTGAGCTTTACAGTCTAGCACACTCGTGTAAATCCAGGTGGGAGCCCCAGAATCCGGGGTAGGAGGGGAATAACAAAAGTCGGTGTTTCTTGGAAAGGCTAAAGAAGCTGGTGCTGTTCCCCTTAGAGAAGAAAAAAGGAGGCGTGATAGTGGAGCCCTGGATTACAGCAGGTGCTTACACGATGAGCACATCCAGTCTGGTGTTGGTGGCATTTGGTGTGTACACGGTGAAGCCACCGGCACAGTCAACATCTCCACCACCCAGGGCTGCATGGCCATCCTCACCCACGGCCAGGCCACTGTGGGTGTGCTTTACACCATCAAAGGTTAAGCTTTCCTTCTAGAACCACATCTAAGCGGAACTATTCCCATGCAGCCTCGTGTCTGCCTTTTGATCAAGGTACTCCCCTTCATCCCCATCCCCCACACCCCTGCCTTGCCCTGAGATTTGACACATGTCTGATATGTAGCCAGGAACTGATAAGAACTCCCTGAAATGTCTCCATATCTGTTGGAAAATAATAGAGTCTAACTTAACAACATAATGTGGTCTAAGCAAATAACATAAAAGTGGTTTACTCAATATGATGGTTAGTTTTACACGTCAGCTTGACTAGGTACCCAGTTATTTGATCAAAGAAGAATCCAGGTGTTGCTGGAAGATATTTAACCATATCTGTAGTGAACATCTACAGTCAGTTGACTTTAAGCAGGAGAGAATATTCTGGCTGATGTGAGGGGGGGCCTCAGGTAAACAGTCAAAGGCCTTAAATGCAAATGCTGAGGTTTCCTGGAAAAGAAGGATTCTGCCTCAAGACTACATAGAAATCCTGCCTGAACCCCAGCCTGCTGGATTGCCCCGTAAGTTTCAGACCCACCAGCCCGCACAATCGTGTGAGCCAGTCTTTAAGATAAGTAAATAACTGATGGAGAGATGAGAGAAAGAGATGGACCTAACCTATCCCTTGGTTCTGTTTCTCTGGAGAGCCCTGACTGACTCACCCGGTAGGCATATATGCCCTGTGGTTCTGCAACATGGTTCTGGTGTGCGCCCTGGAGTGTTGAGCAGGGGGCAATTTTTATACTTTCATGTTTTGGGGTATTGCCTCTGGCTTCAAAAGTTCTGGGAAGAACCATTGAGGCCACACAGCTGAGCTGAAGGGGATGGAAGCTCCTCTGAGACAGATGCAACCCTGCCAGGGGGATGCTGAACACAGATCCAGCAGCAGGGGGCTGCCCCAGGGGCCATAGGCACAACCCATTGTTGGGACAGGGTACCTGCTCCCTCTGGGGGGTTCTGTTTCCTCAGGTGGCATTGAGGACCTTTATGGCTGCTTATTCCCTTACAGGGCATAGCTGCTCCTGTGCAAAATGAAGAAACCCGAGTGGACAGAATCTGTTGGAATCATTACTGGCTGCAAGGGCTCAAGGGCCCACAGAGACCCAGGCCCCTCTCTGCTTCTCCCCCAGCGCCTACCTGCTCCCTCACAGGCAGACAGAGCCCCCAGGGAGACTCACCCAGCCTGCTGTCCTGCTCTGCCTTTCCTTCTCCCTTGCACTTACCAGCTTAGGAGTCAGGCTCGGACCAGTGGGGCATAGTACCCTAAGGGGCATGGTACCCTGGGTGGGCATGGTACCCTGGGGGCATAGTACCCTGTAGGTCATGGTACCCTGGAGGGCATGGTACCCTGGAGGGCATGGTATCCTGGGTGGGCATGGTACCCTGGGTGGGCAAGGTAGATGGCAGATGTTGGCTCTGTTGTAAGTCTGGAAATGCGGCCGGCCCATGCCCACCCCCTCCCCTTCTCTGTCTTCTTCAAGTTTGCTCCCAGCAGCTACTGAAGGCATGGGGCCAGTTCCCCTCTGGTGAGACCTTGAGCAGTGGTGAGAAAAGACAGGATGGAAAGAGGGAAGGAAGAAAGGGGAGCAATGGTGAGAGGTTAACACCAGACACATGGACCCAACAAAGGACAGAGAGTGTGCCATCAACCTATCACCTGACACCTCCGTGAAGAATCCTTCAAGGAGTCTGAGGCTCTTCCTACATGAAATCATGGCCAAGACAGGGGAGCCATCCAGCCAGGATGTCCACACTAACAAAAAAGATTGCTTCAGCAAGTTTTCATGAATCAATAGATCACAGAAAATTATTAGTAACTGGGCAAGTAATTATTCCTCCCCATTGTAACCTACCACCTGGAAGGCAGTTTACAAAGATGTATAGTTGGAAGACTAAAGGGAAATGTGTTTCATTTCCTGATTTATGCATGAATTTATATTATCTTTCGGTTGTAGATACTTTAACATGACCCGTAGCTGTATGTTCTTTGCTTGTTATGTCTTCTCATGAAATGAGAATCATTGGGACGTGTGTCTGTGTGTGTGTGTGTGTGTGTGTGTGTGTGTGTGTGTGTGCACGCACACACATGGATATTCTGATCTCCATGTGTGAGACTAGGCTACAGCTACTGCTTCATGTCTTCTCTTATTTTCTCAGCACTGTGTTTGTAAGACCTATTCATTTTCCTTCTGTCTGGAAGGCACAGCAGGTATGTGTGCCCCATATCTGTCCATCATTGACTCCAAATTCCTGGCACAAAGACAAACACAACAAGGAACAACCCTGTGTATGAAACCCATGTTATTTTGACTAATATTGCCAGGTTTCTCTTCACAACTGGCTGCACCGGTCTGCACATGGAATATCCTATATCCCCAATCTGCCAAACTTGGCACTATCCACCATATTTCTAATTTGCCAACCCAACAGGTACCAAATGATATCCCATAGTTTCTTTTTGTCATATATGTCAAGTGAGTTTGAACACTTCTTACAGCCTGTCATTCTTCGGGTTTCTTCTCTGTAAATTGCCTATTTATGGAAGAGTGTTGTCTCTTCTTTCTGATCCTTCTTTCTTTCTTTCCTTAGGAACTGAAGTACAAATGTCAAATAATAGCAATGATCACGGATATCTTTACCTTGTTCACAATTTTGGAGGAAATATTAAAATATCCTTAATAAATATAAAGTATGCTGTAACTTTCAGGGCATACAACTTTAACAATTGAAGAAGTTCTTTTATATCTTGTTAGTTATTTTCACTATGTGTTGAATTTATCAATAATGTTCTCTGCATCAACTCAGATAATCATGTGTTTTATACTTGAATCTTAGTTAATGTGGTGAGTCCACTGAAATGCTTCCTGTTGGTGAACCATTTTGCATTTGTGAATAAGTCTTATTTAATTATCATGTCTTAGTAAAATACACTATTGGATTTTCTTAGCTGTAGCTTATTTAAGATATTTATATCCATGTTCAAAATAAACTATGCTTATAATTTTCTTCTTTTTTAAACATATTTTTAAATTTCATATTGAGGTACATACAATAAAATGCACAAATCTGAGCACACAGCATGATGAATTTTGACATGTGTATGTACTCACGTAATCATTCCCCAGATCAAGATATCAAATGTCCTCACTAGTTTTTCCCCCTTCATCCATTTCATATTTTTCTTGAATTTTTTTCTCTCCAATTGTCCTCATCTGTCTATAGAATGAAAAGTACAATTTTTGGCCTTTTTGTATTTGGAGGAAATAACATCATAAAATAGGAATTATTTCTAAGAAGTTTAGTAGAACTTAAAGATAAAACCATCTGGGTCTTAGAATTTTGGTGAGGAGAAAGATGTTGTTTTTTAAATGTTGTATTTATAGATATACACTGGGTGTCAACTAAAATAAGGTTATAACAGTTTCAAAGGCCCTGGCTAATGGGGTCAATGAAGCACTCTCCTTGGTATAATCTGTTCTGTACCTTTTATTCCCACAGATCATATAAAGAAACCCTTCTTTATATTCCTGAATGAGTCACACAGCTGGCACCTCACTTGAACTGCACTGATCAAATTTGGACACCTGTCATCATTTGCCTCCTTCCTGGCCAGATGTCTAGCAGAATCTACCTGCCTTCTCTCACTTAAAATAGTCGGCATTTTTCTACCCCAAACAAATTCTCCTGTAACATCTCAAACCTCAGACATGAGAAACAACCAGCTGAAACCACAGAATTGGGTCTGTCTTCATTTTAAGAATTTCCATCACATACTATCCCATCCAAAAAGGAAATAAAATTAGCAAGATGTGGCTTATTGCTGAACTCTGAGTGTATTGCTGAACATTACACCCATGGCCCGTCAGAGAGTTCCCGCCGAGGTCTGTCTGTCCCCTGCTGGCAGGGGACCAGACTCGCCCTCCGGCTCCCACGTCCCCACGAGCCGTGCCGGTGCCAGGCTCTGCTCAGGTCCTGCTCATACATGTCCCCATCCACTGAGAGGC